TAACCAGATCAGCTACAACATCACCGGTTCATTCACCTGCACGTCCACCAATGTTATATATGCCATAATGTGCCAGCAATGCCCCTCTGCTATGTACATTGGCCAAACTGGACAGTCACTACGTAAAAGGATAAATGGACACAAGTCAGATATCAGGAATGGCAACATACAAAAACCTGTAGGAGAACACTTCAACCTCCCTGGCCACACAATAGCAGATGTAAAGGTAGCCATCTTACAGCAAAAAAACTTCAGGACCAGACTCCAAAGAGAAACTGCTGAGCTTCAGTTCATTTGCAAATTTGACAGCATCAGATCAGGGTTAAACAAAGACTGTGAATGGCCAGCCAACTACAAAAGCAGATTCTCCTCCCTTGGTGTTCACACCTCAACTGCTAGCAGAGGACATCACCCTCCCTGATTGAACTAACCTTGTTATCTCCAGACTGATTCTTGCCTGCATGTTTATACCTGCCTCTGGAAATTTCCATTACGTGCATCTGACGAAAAGCTTATGCTCCAATACATCTGTTAGTCTTAAAGGTGCCACAGGACTCTCTGTTGCTTTTTACAGATCCAGACTAACACGGCTACCCCTCTGATACTTAGTAAAAAGATGTTACTTGTAAACTGAGCACATTTGGGTTGGAAATTGCGAGATATGGAACACAATAATTTTGATATTTTTTTTAGTCATTTTTCAGTCTAGATTGGGGTCGGCGACCTGCGGCACACATGCCAAAGGCGGCATGTGAGTTGATTTTTACTGGCACACTGCTGCCAGCCGGAGTTCTGTCCGCCGGCCCCGCTGAGACCACTGCCTGCCTGGGTGAACGGAACCCTAGGCCGGCCACGGGCTGAGTGGGGCCGGCGGCCGGGACCCCAGCTGGCAGGGGCCGGCGGCCGGGACCCCAGACCAGTGGCAGGCTGAGAGGTTCAGCCTGCTGCCGGTCTGGGGTTCTGTCTGCCACCCCGCTCAGCCAGCTGACGGTCTGGGGTTCCAGCCGCCTGTCCCTTGCCAGCCAGGATCCCGGCCCTGCTCAGCCCACTGACGGTCTGGGATTCTGGCCACCGGCCCCTTGCCAGCCAGGGTCCCAGCCATCGGCCCTGCTCAGCCTGCTGTCGGCCTGGGATACCAGCCGCTGGCCCCACTCACCTCTCTGCTGGTCTGGGGTTCCAGCCGCCCGGCCCCCTGCCAGCCGGGGTCCGGGCCTCCGGCCCTGCTCAGCCCACTGCTGGCCTGGGGTACCGGCTGCCAGCCCAGGGTTCTGCTCCTGGCCCAGTGCTCTGCAGCCACCCCCAGCTTCTAATGAAATCTCGCATGTCTCACACGCCCAGGAAGGGCATCTCGTACCCCTAGGGGGGCGTGCACCCCAGGTTAAGAACCACTGCACTAAATTGATAAGATCTGCATTTTAATTTGATTTTAAATGAAGCTTCTTAAACCTTTTAAAAACTTTGTTTACTTTACATACAACAATAGTTTACTTTTATAATATAGACTTATAGAGACAGACCTTCTAAAAACATTAAAATGTATTACTGGCATGCGAAACCTTAAATTAGAGTGAATAAATGAAGACTCGGCACACCACTTCTGAAAGGTTGAAGGTTGCCATCCCCAGGTCTAGATTATGTATCAAATGTTTTGACTATTGAAACACCAACTAAAATAATTTTAATGTCTTCTTGTAAGCATGTTCCGGCATATTGGTTTCTATTTAAAATAAAGTGTAACTTCATTTTTTGAAGCAATGAAGATAACAGTGTCACTCTTTTTAACAGAACAAAAGGAAAAAAGAACCAGTTTTCTCTCATTATTGTGATACTTGTGATCGTGGCTATAAAAACCAAGAAAAGTATGATGAACATGTTGCACAGCACACACAGGTTAGTTTAAATGTGCGGGAAAGTTTGTCTTATAAAGCAGCTTATTTTTACAATTTACAGTCATACGATTTGGCCTGTGATTTCATAAGCTAAGCAGGTTTTGGTCCCAGTCAGTGCTTGAATGGGAGATCACCAACGGAAAATCATGTGCTACAGGAGGTGGTAGGTGGCACTTTCTCTGGAGTCATCTCCTTCGCTGACTCCAAATAGTGCAAGGCATAGGCGCCGACTCCGTGGGTGCTCCGGGGCTGGAGCACCCATGGAAAAAAATTAGTGGGTGCTTAGCACCCAGTGGGGAGATCAGCTGTTGGTAACTGCCAATCAGCTATTTAGCATGCGCAGTAGCCCTCATCAGCTCTTTGGCTGGCTGCAGCCAATCAGCTGTTTGGCGGGAAGTCCCCGCCTATCAGCTGTTTCCCCTGCAGCTGGTGAAGCTCCCAGCAGGCTCCCACCTTCCACTGCAGGCAGATGTGAGTCCTTTTAATTTTCAGGGCAGAGGGAGCTGGGCTAGGGGGGACAAGCAGCCAGGGCACGGCAGCTTCTGGGCTAGCTGCGGAGGGGTGGGCAGCCTCTCGGCAGGGGGCTGGAGGGAGACGGGCAGGCAGCTTCTTGGCTAACCCCAGGGGGCTACTGGGAGGAGTACAGGCTGGGGGGTTTCTCGTGGACTGAGCCAGCTATTCTCAGCCCACCCCGGTGTCTCCCCCAGGACCTGTGCCCCTCCCTGCAGCCAGGAGAAACCAGCTGCGGACCCCCTTAGTGCTGGGCAGGGGGAACAAACCAAAGGGCATGGCTCCTTTAAGAAAAATTTGCCCTTGTGCGTGCTCTCATCCCTGGCAAAATAATGCTTGCCCAGCTCAAAGCTGTCCCTCCACGCCCAGATCAAGCCTGCCTGAGGGGCTTTTCCTTCCAGAGATAAACTTCATCTCTCTCTCCCCTCCCTCTTCCCCCCCCCCCCCCCCATCAGCGTCCCCTCCTCCCCATGTCAGAAAGGATTGATTTCCCCCCCCCCCCCCGCCAGCTCCCAGGGAATCCCTTCCATTGCATCCACCCCCCTGTATCAGCTTCAACTCAGGAGACGCTGCCTTGCTTCTCCCTGGGAACACCTGAGCTCGTCTTGCTTCAGGATGCTGGACTGCAACCCACCTTTGGCCATGGCCACCTTTGGCCATGGTCCCACCAGGGGCTCCCCTCCCACAAAAGTTACATAGTGTGTGAGGGAGTCAGGAGCGAGCTTCAAAGCAGGGGTGGGCTGCAGCCCTGAGGAATGAGAGGAGCTGGAGCGACACAGCAGCCATACAGCAGGATAAATGAATGGGCCATTTCTATGTTGGGCTGTTGAATTAAATTCCTCTCTGTCTCAGGGCGGCCAGTTTCCCCCCAACCCCACCCTCTGCGGCCAGCGCAGCGACAGAACTGCTTTGAGTGCGTGGGTGGGAGCGAGCGCTAAACAGAGCCACTGGGAGGTGGGGAGCAGAGAGAGAGAGAGAGATGGGAAAAGGGACACAGGTGGAGAGCAAGAACTGGGAAACATCAAGAAGGGGAGATACCAATGATAGACACACTTTCAATAACTAGAATGAAAGTGTATAAATATGCTGAAAATAGCCTCCCCTCAAAACTGGCAGAGCATCCCTCCAGCACACGCACTTTGCCGTTAAGGCAGGAGAGGGCAGAAAGGAGTGAGCGGCAGGCGGGAGGCATTTAGGGGAGGGGGTTGGCAAGAAGGAGGTGTTCAGGGAGGTTTAGGGGGATGGGGCTGGAAGAGGTGGAGTGGGGCGGGGCCAGGATGGGGCACCCACCAGCAAAACCAAAAGTCAGCACCTATGGTGCAAGGAGTCACTGTGTTGTTGCGGGTGTTCTTTTTTTATTACGATGTAAAATGGAGGCCCTAAGTGAGTACATAGGTTCTGCTTGTACTTATAGGCGTTGGGGTGCTGGTCATGTAGGTCTTTGATTCATAATGGTCAATGTAAAATTGGTAATCAGTAGTTGAAATTATCTGTGATTTGTGAAGTCATACAATTTTGCGTGAATTACTGAAGTCTTTGGGGGTGACGCTGCTAGAGGGATTTGCCTTGTTTTGGCCACCGATAGGTATCCAGTACAGCATGAACCTAAGATGTGTTGACAATGTGCTTGTGCTGGGTGTTTGCATCCAATTTGAAATGCTGACGGTCTCCTTCCCTAGAACAGGGATGACTACAGTGTGTGTACAATTTTGGCAAGTCCTTTATGATGGGTCTAAGACTAATTCTTGGATGCCAGCTGCTCCAATTCCTGCATGAAATGATGGAAGATCTTCACTGTTATAAACTGTTGAGTGCATTCTGAATCCTAAGATGTCATCATAAATGAGTACTGTGGAGAATAAATATTGTAAAACATAGTGAACATAATGTATTACTCTTAGGCCACTGAGTAACTGAATGTCTTTTTTTTTAATTTAATTGTTAATGCTGTAGTACTGGTACTTAGCCTTTTACATCTTCAGAGCTCTGTGCAAGTAACTAAGACTATGTTGGCAGTTGTTATTTTGTTCACCATTCAAGAAAGTGATCTAATATGCAGTGGTATGCAATGTAGTTAAAAATAAGTGGGCTACATCTTGACTCTTTTTGTGTGCATAATTCCATTCAAATGGTGTTGGAGTATATATTTTTTCTTTTTTTTTCTTTCTCTTGCAGTGTGCAGAACCTGGTTGCGGTTTCAGTGCACATGAGAAGTTGGTTCAGATTCACTGGAAGAATGTAGGTACCCCAAACTGCTTCAAAAATGGAGTCCATGAAAATTGTAGAATTGATTATTAGCTTCTCCTCTGGCTGTCTTTATGCATTGTTATATTTCTCTAGAATGACAAATTCCAGTCTCAGCCTTAAAACTGACCCTCAATCCCAAATTAAACATGAAAAGCATGTAAAAGCCAACATAATAGAAATGAAAATCACCATGTATCATTTTTAGTCTTCTCATTTTCTATATGCTACACCCAATTTCATCAATGTCTGGGTTTTTAAAGTTGCAGAATTTTGTGTAATTGCATAAAGGGAATATTCAGTCACTTTTTGTAATGCTTCTGAAAACTTGTCCTCCCTAGATGCATGCTCCTGGTGCTAAAAGAATACAGTTAGATACTCCAGAGGAGATTGCTAAATGGAGAGAGGAAAGAAAAAGGTGAGTAAGCTCAGAGACGGTATAGTTTAAGTTGTAAGAGGCTTTCAATTCCAAAACTTCTCATCACTCCCATGCACTTTTCCCTTGGGGTTCCTAGCCCTTAACTTAATAATTTTTTTAATGCTTGGGGGGGAAAAAGATTCAAACTCTTAAGTTACGCCAGCAAGAAAAATATATGCCTCAATCTTTAAGATGCATTATTTTGTCTTTAGATAACTCATACTGTTTGTACATGTCATGTTTAAAGCTCAGATTCCTGAAATGAGGAATGTGTGCTGGATGAAGTTGGAAATAGTTGGGTCTGAAATAATGAAGATGTGAACATCTGAAAATGGTGTACTCATCACCTCTATAGTACACTTCATTGGGTGCAGACTTCCAGAAATTGACAAGTAATTTCTGTAGACTTTAAATTTGTACCTAACTTTTTTCTAACCTGTATCTCTTGATTATCATGCAGCAAGCTCTGCTAATTCATAAACAGGGACGTGCGCAGGAATTTACATTTGACCACTTTTGGAAGGCCACGTTAAACACACACAAATGAAAGGTTCACTCGCTCTCCTTCCCTCTTCCCCTCCCCTCCCCCCTATTTCTCTGGACGCCTCTGGTGGGGATGCCCAGCAGCGAGGAGGCAGTGGCTCCCCCTGGCAGCAGCGCACTCTGTGTCCCTGCAGCCTGGGGATGGAGGAAGCAGCAGGGCGGCTGGCTGCAGGCTGATGCAGGGACACATGGAGATTTTTGAGGGGGGGTGGGGTGAGGAGGGCGTGCCCTTGCTTGCTCCCCCCCTTTGTGTATGTCCCTGGTCATAAAGAGCATTTATTCAAGGATGAGTGCTGCTCGGTACCTCTTTTTACTACAAAAACCTTTTCCCGTTTGTAATAGTGTAAAGCACTTTAAATCAAAAGGTATAGGAGATTAAACTGATTAAGCTTATTCTGTGATTAATGCACTTATAGGAATGACCACTTTCTCATCTGTGAAATGGAGATAATGCCTACACTCACAGATAAGCTGAAAGAAAAACAGCTGGATATTTGAAGATAGACACTGTACTGGTCTGGACTTGATCCTACTGAATTTTCAAAGATAAGCAGGTTGCACCGGATTAATAGTTCAGGTTGTCACAGATGTTCTAGATTTTGTTTCTCTGGCTGCAATTGTGGGTTATGAACATTTTTATATTTATATAGGTGTGTAATGTCTCGCTCTCCCTTTTATTTTATTCATTATTTATATATATCAGAGAGAGAAAATTAGTGGTAATGCTTTATAGCATTATATTAGAGAGGTGGGTTTTATTACTGGACGTCTCTTTGTAATGGCTTCAGAAACAAAACTGGCTCCAGCTTGCAGTCGTATTGCAATAGACTATGATGTTACTAGATTGCATAAGAATAGGCCTGGCCATTGCTTGGATGGGAGATACCCCAGAGAGTCCCTGGAAGACATCTCTTGGCACGTAACTGTAGCTCTTTCATGTTCTACAGAACATCTTGTGTGTCCAGAACTGCTTCTCCACTTCCTACTCTGTAATATTCACACCTGAGGACTTTTTTTTTATTCAGATTTACTGACATAAAAACCCTGCAGTAAAACAAAGGAAGCATGAACAGACTTTCTGTGAGGAATGGGTCAGTGGATTTGGTGTAGGATGAAAAAGGTACTATGGAACTGGGGAAATAAAGTGGGCATTGGGATACTGGGCTGGGAACTGGTGGGTAGGCTGGCTGGGAAGTGCAGGGAAGCCCACTGCTCTGACCCTGTGCCTTCTGTTCTCCCACATGGCTCTCTGATTTCTCCTTCTGGAGACATACTAAGAATTGCTTGCACACTCTCTCTTAATAAACCTGCCACGGTCCATCAGTTTGGGACTCACCCCTAGAGAATCAAAAGAGGTTTGCCAGATGGAGGAGATCTTCCCTTCTCTGTGGTAGATCTACAAGCTCTACTTGTCAGGATACCGCCTCCAACCCTCCCTCTCCCACCATGTCTCAGTCATAACAGTGGCAAGGAGGGGGCAGGGAGAGAGGGAGGCCCAGTGACAAGTTTGTCTGACAAAGGGGACTGAGTATCTCTGCTACAAACAGAGATTTTCCTAGAAAAATTGCTATGGCCTGACAGACTTTGGCAGGTAAGATGATGGGAAGTCATGCTGGCAGGATTTGGAGTTTCTGAAAAGCTAGGGGTGACCCCAAGCCTCTCCTATTCAGTTAAGTACATCCGCCCCTGTCCCAGCATCCCTCATCCCCATAGGTTTCTGCAGTCTCCATCCCCAGGCTCAACGCTGTCACCCCACTAGCTCCCGAGCCCATGCCCGTCTGTCGTCCCCCCCACTAGTCATTCTGAACCCCAGTCTGTGACTCCCCTGCAGCTCTGTGTGCTCCGCCCTGTCCTAACCTGACTCCTCAGGCAGGATGCTGTGATGGACTCTACTCCTGGGGGAATTCAGCAGCACTGGGCATAGAAATTTTTATTTTCCTGCATAAAAAACATTTTGCCCACCAGAGGCTGCTGTGATGCTAGAACAGAGGCATGAATGCAGCTGCTTGTTCCGGTGCCACAGCGGCTTCTGGTGGGCAAAAAGTGGAACTGCAGCACTGCTGAGGGAAATGTTTTTTTGTGCATGAAAATATAATATGCGAGACAGATGCGGATGCGCAGAATTCCCCAAGGAGTAACAGTTAATGGGGGAAAAAACAAGCTTGATTTCTGTCTGATAACTTCAGTGACTATTAGCTGCTGTAGGTACCAAAGCTTCCTCTTTATCCTAAAGCAATTCAAAAGGAATTTCTTGGCCCACTTTCATGTTACCTGGAATTTGGTGTCATAGCAAACTGGCTTTCTTTTTCAGCAAAGCTTCTAGAACCCCCTCCTCCCCACATTATGTAAATACAATAAGTGTTGCAGAGTTCATTAAATAAAAATATCTTTAAATCTAATCTATGATATCTGTAATCCATGACTGATTTTTGTGGCACTAGGATAGCTCCAAGTAAAAATCTAGTATTTTAGGGTAGTTGAAAATTAATAGTGGATTTTTCACATGCAACTCCTTTCATCACTTGGATACAAAAAGTCTCCTTTTTGGGGAATATCTGTGGGCAAATTTCCAACTTGTGCTGATGTCAGATCAGTTTGCTTGTACAGCAAGACTCCCGTTTTGTTTGTAGTCATACTTTATCTTCTCTAACATTGCCCTTAGGAAGGTCAGATAACAAAACACGAAGTGTTAACATCTATAGTAAGAAGTAAATTGAAACATTCATTTATGTAATGGGTTTTAAGCTGTTCAGACATGAAGACATGGCTACTGTTTGATCTACACTTAAAAATGCTGTTCGGTTTTTTTTGTTTAGGATTTTATTACAAAATACTTGTAGCACATGAGATGCATTTTGTACATCAGACTAAGTACCTCTACATCGGTTCAGAAATTAAAGACTGTTTAATTTTCAGTAAAAGAACAGGAAGTTAACTTACAAGGTTCTATCTTGCTGATGACTGGAGCATGACTAACAGAATGCCCAAGTAAATATTTAATGGTTCTAAATAATACAGTAGAACTTTACTAGTCTGCACCTTGGATTTGGTTTTGAAACTGGTCATCCTGAGAACCAACTTTAAGGTCTTCTGTACATTGAAGTAGCGACTGCTGAGTTTGTCCTGTTTCGGGAGAAAACTACAGTCGTGTGCTCAATGTGTGGTGATCTCCTTAGATCTTCTGTGGTATTTTTAAAAAAAAAGAAAGGAAAAATAGTTATAGCAGTGATTATTACTTTATTGTATTCCCTTAGAATGAGGGCTTCTCTTTTCCGGCTTCTGAAGTTGGAGATGGAAGTGTAACAGTTTAGTCTTTCAGATTGTAAACTATTTGAGGCAGGGACTGTCACTATGTTTGTACAATGCTAGGCATAATGGGGCCCTTACCTGGTTGGCTTATAGGTGCTATTGCAGCATTAAGGTTGTACTTTTTTCTCTTGTGCTTTACCTTTCAAAAAACAAGTTAAAATAGATTTTTTTCATGAAGTAGTAATTAATAAATTCTGTGAAAGGGATATTAAGCCTCGTTTTAGAGATTAAGACAATCTCTTACTATTAGAGATTAGGTTGAGATCTAATGTGTGTGGGGGGGGGTGTGTGGGCAGATTATCACACCTCTGCCTACTGCTTAGTGCTTGCTTCCACCTTTCTCTGAAGCATCTGGAGATGGGATACTGGTCTAAATAGACCTCAGGTTTGATTTTGTATGGCACTTTTTATGTTTCTAAACAGCCCTCTGTTGGGGTATGCAGGTAAGCCAAACACCTGTTGCCCGGCCCTCAATTTGCATGGTCTAGCTGGCTGCCTAGTCACTGGAAAAGTTCTAGGTTTATATGTGTATAAACATTCTGTACTAGACACTAACAGATGAGGAAAATAGTATGAGCTGGATTGAGTAAGGGCATTGGCAAATTTGTAGGTACCCTGCAAAAATTATTCACTTTTTATAAAGTAAAACTGTATGATTTCCTTGTTGAATTTGAGTTGACTATAAAGGTGTCTGCAGTTAATTCTAAGTAAACTTTTACTGATGAAATATTTTATACCTGAATTGTGTAAGAACTCAATTTTTTCTACTCCGTATGTGAGTGCAGATACTCTTAATGTCAAATTGCAAGTAAGTTACTGTAGAAACTTGGTATAAAATTGCCTGAGAAAAATACTTGGAAATGGGCTTGTTGCTGAGCTATAATGAATAGGAATAATAAGGCTGTGTAACTCAGAACTTGTTCTAAAACAAGTCCACTAGGTGGTGTAGTTCTGTGGTTTATTTCAGTGCTTTCATTGCCTGTGTGGGCATCTTATTTATAATAAATAGGTGCAACAAAATGACTACCTGGGTGGCTTCTGATACTCGTTTTATAAAATGAGGATGCTCTATTAATACCTGAAAAACTGTAGCTTTTGTGAAGCAGTAATTGGGCCTCCAGTAAAGTAACAATTTAGAACTGAAGCTG